AGGGGTGTGAATTGGTTTCCCACTGTGGTTTTAATTCACATTTCTCTGATGGCTAGTGATGTTGGGCTGTTTTTCATATGTTAATTGGGCATGTAAGTATGTGCTTTTGTGAAGTGCCTGTTCCCCTCTTTTGCCCATTTTCTACTGGATTGTTTCTCCTTTTTCTTATGGATTTGTAGACATTCTTTATATATTCTGGATAAGAACCTATACATCCAAGTATCTTCTCCACACTGTGGCTTGTCTTTTCACTCTCCATGCTATCTTTTGATAAAAGAAATTCTTAATTTTAATATGGTTCAATTTATCAATTTTTTTTCTTATTGTTGGTGCCTTCTGTATCCTGGTGAAACACCAATTATTTTTATTTCTTTAAAAATTTTTAAAGCAGATTTAACAAAATTTAGTTAACATAATAAACTGCACATATTTAAAGTGTATGATTTGGTTAAACTTTTGGAGTGACGGATAATGTACGTTATCTTGATTGTGATGCCAGTTTCATGATTGAACATTTATGTCACAACATTTATGTCAACATTTATGTCAATTTTAATGCTTCCATAATATTTCATGTTATGAAAGTGTTCTAATTTGTTTCTCATTCCTCTAATATTGGGCAATAAAGTTGTTTTCCTCTTTTCCCCGATCACAAACAAAATAAAAGCTGTTAAATGTCACAGAGGTGAAAGAGCCTGTATGAACAGGAAATAATGGATATGGTTTGTGGAAGACAAGATATGCTGGGTTGCTTAGCAATGCCTTTATGTGAGGGAAGAAGAGCAAGAGTGTTGCATGGAACTATGAGGAATGCTCAGGCTGTGCTGTGCCTCAGTAATGAGCTGTCATGTGTTGTGATGTACAGTTCTGAAGTGATAAAGTATGCAAGCAGCATAGCAAGAAGTGTTGGCCCAGGGTGGTGACAGCTGCCTACTTTAGGAGAAACTGACTGAAGCAGGGAAGAAAAGACCTTTCTCCCTGCTTAAAAATGCTTTTAATCACAAGAGCATTTGCTCATTTTTTTAAAATCAGGAAATGTGTGCATCAAGTGAAAAATCATGCCCCAGACCCATTTCCAATCCCTATCAACAACCCCTGGAAGTATTTTAGTATGTAAACTTTTAGATATTTTCTGTGCATCATATTAAAGACATACAAAGATATACATATATACATATAAACTTTTTTTTTTTTTTTAAACAGAACTGCTAATAAAAATAATCCTTGGCCACTTGTTCTATTCACTTACTATCTGTAGTTCCCTTTCCACATCAGGGTGCTACAGGTGTGCCTGCTCCCCTCCTCCAAACACAGCTCAGGATGCAGCTGATATGCCCCAGTCTCAGTGCCAACACCTGGAGCTCTGGTTGAGGCAACGGGGCAGAGTGGGCAGCCCAAAGTCCACTTGCCTGGCAAGTGGGTGGCTGGGTACTGACAAGATCCTTCTCTATTGCAGGCTTTCCCACACAACAGCACTTCTAGGATGAGTGCTGATTTCAGCCCCCTCAGGCACCTTCTCCCTCCATCCCATGGCTTCTCCTCTAGTCCAAGAGTAGCAAACTCAGAACCCTACAGAAGCCCAGCAAGTCAAGTAAATGAGTGAAGCAGGCTCAACAGAAGAGTGTTAGAACTGTCAGAAGCAGAGGCCCGTTTGAATGGCAGCCATGACTCACACCACCACTCACACACGTCCCCTTGTAAGGGAGGAATATTGCCAGATCTCTAAATCTTCCTTGAAGAAGTCATGAGAAGCCTGGAAAAGTCTGGAGAAGCTATAAATCCAAATTTTATGAGAAATCTTCTGATTTTCAATGTCAGCTAGCCAAATCTTTTGGGATGTACTTAGGTCTTCACCTTTTCTTTTCAAAATAAACTATTTTTTAGAATAGTTTTAGATTTACAGAAAAATGGCAAAGATAGTTTAGAGAGCTCTTGTCTACCCTCATACTCACGTTCCTGTAATACTAGTACAGTAAATTGTTACAATTAAGGAGCCAATACTGATACATTAATATTAATTTATTCAGATTTCTTTAATTTTATCTGATATCCTTTTTCTGTTCCAGGATCCCATCTGGGATTTCACATTACATTTAGTTTTCATGTGTCCTTAGTCTCCTTTTGACTGGAGCAATTTCACAGATTTTCCTTGTTTTTGATGACCTTGACAGTTTCAAGGATTATCGTTCAGGTATTTTTCAAAATATCCTTGGTTTTTCTGGTATTTTTCTCACTATTAAACAGAAGTTATGGGTTTTCAGGAGAATGCCACAGAGATAAAGTGCCATTCTCAAAACATACCAAGGGTACACATATTATCAATATGACCTATCCTGGTTGATGTTGACCTTAATCACCTGGATGAGGTAATGTGAGGTCTCTTAACTGTAAATTCTACCCACTGAGCCGCCAATAAATGGTAGAATTTTCATACTGAATGAGGTTGATTTGTAATACCACCTGGCACATTATTTCCAAATTTTTATCATTTGCAAATACATATTCTTACCTTTAATACAGAAACTGGAAACATGACTGCATTCTAAATGAAAAAGCCATTTTGCTCCTTAACAACAGAGAGTCAAGCCTGACTTAGGTCTTCGGTAGCCCTTTCCTCCCAAAAAAGATACACCCTGTTACTCTTGGAAATAGTATGACTGGCATATACCATATGTTCTTTCCTTCCCTTTAAAATCCAAGAAGTTCAAGATTTTTAAAAATAGTATGGTTTTCTAACTACAATTAATCTAACTTTTTGTAAGTGTCCACTGCTAAGGAGAAGTGAATAGAGGGGACCTTACCCAGAGGAAGTTGAATGAGGAGAGAATTTAGGCCCTCTTTTTCTCTACGGAAAAGTGCATTTTATGAGTATTTCCTACTTAGTATTTGATTATAACAGCCTGTAGAGGGCGTCCTTGCACCAAGAGCCATAGGGGTTTGAGCGAGGCTAAGAAAAAAGTTTCAATTAAGACCACACTTTAGGGAATCAAAGTAAATGTCTATTGTGTTTTGAAATTATCTTTAATTGGGAGACAATTGGCATTGAAATGTCGAAGGGCTCTAAAGGTTGCCTAATGTATGTGAATACACTATATAAAGGAATAGTTACTGAAATGAATTCAAAATTAATAAAATGTTTGAAAAGAGGTAAATATATTTATTTTAAAGAAAGAATCTCTGTGAGGCTTGAGATCTAATTATGATTTACTTATCAGTACGAAGTGTGGTGACTAAAAGAATGGACTTTTAAATCAGGGTGCTTGGGTTTGAACCCTGATTCTGCCCCCTTACCAGCTGGGTAACACAAGCAACTTGCTGGGCTTTTGGGAACCGTGCTTCCCAACAGTAAAATGGAAATAATAACAGTACCTATTTAAAAGAGTTGAGGATTAAAAAGGCACTTTAATTTTTAATTTTATTTTATTTTTTAGACACAGAGATTGAGATCACAAGTAGGCAGAGAGAGGGGGGAAGCTGGCTCCCCGCTAAGCAGAGAGACCAATGCAGGGCTCAATCCCAGGACCCTGAGATCATGACCTGAGCCGAAGGCAGAGGCTTAACCCACTGAGCCACCCAGGCACCCCAAGAAAGCACTTTAAAGTACTTATAAAGTTTGACGCTGCAAGTTCAAATCAGTCATAATTAGACATCTTGTCTAATTACTTGTAAAGATCAACAGTTGTAAAGTTGAAAATACTTCATAACTGGAAATACATATTCTGTTCTTTTTAGTAACTGCTCATGACCTAACAGTTACTTAACTTAATGCATGCACAAATTCGGCTTTTCTTCTGTTGTTTCTGTTTGTTTTCCCCTCTTGAGGTGTCCACCACTCTCCAAAGGACTGAGTGAAACACCACACCCTGGACACTTGATCCTTGGACATTTGTTGCAGCATCTGGGTGCTAAAGAACAAAGAGAAGTAAACAACCTTTTTCTGAGTCTGAAATCTTTCTAAGTATTGCTTTTGTTTTTGTTTTTTTACCTTTTGCTTCCATTTTCTTTGCATAGCCAAGGGATTAAGCAGGGGGCAAGTTAAGTCCCTTTTGCTGAGGTCAGGTGGCTCTGTTAGACTACAGCCTACTGCCAAGCCAACTACTCTTCCCATAGACAAGGCCAGAACCTTGGTCCTGCCCCCAAGCGCCTGTGATTTCAGTACCACCGCGCGTGCCTCCAAGTTTCTGGAAACCTCAGCAAATATTAAAGGGTCCTATCCCCGACAGCGTCAGGTACGCCTGTCATCCAGCGTCCAGGGGAACCCTTCCTGGCGCCGCCGGGTGAGCAGGGAGAAGAGCCTCCCCGAGCTGTGAAAGCACCCTCTTCGCTGTCTGTGCGGAATGGAAGCCCTGCGCGCCGAGCCAAGCCCAGCGCCTGCCATCAAGGGCACCCCAGGACCGCAGGTCGGGTTTTACACTGATGCGCCAAGTATCAGCGTTGAGCTGCTCAGAGAGAAACGAGAGGCGCGGAAAGGGAGAAGTGAAGGAATACGCGCCTTGCCTCGGCACGGGCATGGGGATGGAAGTCGTTGTCGCCGTCGTCATCAGCATTATCATCACTGTCCTCAGCCCTCACTCAAGCCATGCGTGTCAGTTCGCCGGGTTCCCCCCAGGCCACGCCTCGCCAAGTAGGAGGCAGAGGCGAGAGACGGCCCAGGGGCCCCTACCCACGCCGGGCTTGGCAACCGCCTACACCACGCGCCCCCTCCGCGCGCGCTCGCACCCGCGCCCCGCGGCGTGGACGCGGCCTCCGAGGGTCTCGCGCCGCCTGCGCGCGCGCGCCCCCCCAGCGCCCCCCAGCGGCGGCCGACTGAGCCGCGCCACTCCTCGCACGCACCTCGCTCGCGCCCTCCCTTCCCGCTTTTCCCTCTCCCGCTGTATTTAACCCTGGGGCTGTTGGCGTCGCCGTGCGTGCTGGCAGCTCCTGCTTTGCCAGTCTTGCGTCTCCGCAGTCCCCGCTCCCTCCCGCGCCCCCTTCGCCTCCCCGCCGGCGCCCGCTCTCCCCTCCCTCCTCCCTGCAGGCTCTCGCGGGCTCTCTCTCGCCGGAGCCAGGGGGCTGCACGCCCGGCGGTCTAAGCGGGCGCGGCTTCGGCTGAGGGAGGACTTCGCGGCCGCAGGCTGGGTAGGTGAGGCAGAAGGAGGTTGAGCGGCGAGAGCCACCGGGAGGGAGGTCCGGAGGAGCATGGCCCGGAGAAGCGCCTTCCCCGCCGCCGCGCTCCGGCTGTGGAGCATCCTCCCGTGCCTGCTGGTGCTGCGGGCGGAGGTCGGGCAGCCGCGGGAGGAGAGCCTGTACCTGTGGATCGATGCTCGCCAGGCGAGAGTACTCATAGGTAAGGCTCCCGCGCCCGCTGCCTTCGCTACCTGCGTCTCCGCTCTCTCCAGCGCTTCTGTTAAAGGGGAGATGCATGCATTTAAGTGTGTTTTTAAAACTTAATTTCCAAGGAAGGTTGCTCCCCTCCACCTTTTAATCAGCTCTTTTCCACCTGAAAGCGTAGGAACTTCTGTCTCCAGAGACCTAAGCTGATGTAGTTGGTCTGATCATGCTGTTGCTAGTTTCTACAACCCTGTGTTTTGGGGTGGACCCCGCGTGTAGTAGCACCCAGTGACTGTATGTCCCCTCCGTTTCCTGAAACCATGTGTCTGTTGGCACTGTTCTTATCACATACCGAGGAAAATTAGTGGGTACCTAGACAGGTGCTTTGTGTATAGACGTGGCCCATACCAATTCTTTAGTGTTCTTTTTGCGTGCGTTTTCTGGTTTGGATTCTTTTAAGTTTGTTTTGTTTTGTTTTGTTTTGTTTTGTTTTGTTTTGTTTTAAACCAGGATTTGAAGAAGATATCTTGATTGTTTCCGAAGGGAAAATGGCCCCTTTTACACATGATTTCAGAAAAGCACAACAGAGAATGCCAGCTATTCCTGTCAATATCCATTCCATGAATTTTACTTGGCAAGCTGCGGGGCAGGTAAGTACTGATAATCAGGAAGGGTGCAGAAAATTACCTTTTAATATCTCCACTGCCTGATGGCAGGTAGAAATAATACTCTGTAGTGTGTAGGCTGATACATTTTTACAACCATTAAGAGTGATTTCTCATGTGATTTCCAAAGCAAATAAAGAATTAACTTCTGCTTATTTAAACGTGTCACATAAAGATTCCCAAAGGAAAAAGGTAAGCAGTGTTCCTAAGCTTGCTATTTTGATATGACTCCATGTCTTCAGTCTGCTAGACACAAATACCAACGTCACTTCTTTCTATGATTATTGACATTAAAATTTAACATAATGTCTATGCTAGAATAAAATATGTAAAACACATGGAAAAAAACAAAAAACATAATATCTAAAAGACTGCTGTAGTATATGCCAATCACTTTTGACATTATTTGTACTTTATGACAAATTTTAAACTCTGTGAATATTTTTGACATTGTGATTTGAAAAAAAAATTTTGAATGTTATTCACTGGAACAATGTAAATGCTACATATTTCTGGTTGAAGTTCACAGCCTCAAAAAGTGTCTGTAAGAACATTTGTAAAATATTGCAGGCTATTGATTTTTTAAGTACCATTTAAAATACTTTCGTATGCAAAAAGAAAACTGCAATATATTTTTATGAAGAAATATTTCTTTTATTTCTTAATACATTACCATCCTTTGTATGTTACCTTTTGTACAGTCCCAGTAATGCATAAATGACCTTTAATTTTGGAAAGAAAAGAAGGATAAATATTATGTGAATTTAATTTCTTTTGTGCAGTTGGAGAATTTACTCTAGGGGACAAATAGTAAGTAATAACTTCTTTTGCTCATGAGTTAGTAAAATGTGTCCACTATGGAAATCATTGTAATTATAATTAAAATCACATTTTGGGGGCTTTTTTTATTCTAAATTTACTTAAATGGCTATTTTCATGAAGAATGTGATCCAGAAAACACTTTATAAAAAGTAATTATTTTGAATTGAGAAGCCACTTTGGGTCCCTCTAATTATCTGTTATATTTTGGGTGTGACCATGACCATTTTAAATGTGTTTTTCCCCTCAGGTCTGTTCTCTCTCTCTCTCTCTCTCTCTCTCTTTTTTTTTTTTTTCCTAAAATAAACCAAATCTAGACCCATCAACATTTCCATGTTGTAAAAAAAGGAATAGATGTTTTGGATCCACTGAGGTTCATAACAGAAAAGCCATTTATTCTAATACCCCCATTTGGTAGATAAGTTCACTGAGGCTTCTATTGCTCTAAAGATTATTCCTTTTCTTCCTATAATTGCCTCTTCCTACTTTATGGACAATTGATTTTGGAATAGTGCGAAATCGGTAATAAAACATGAACGGTCTTTTTCCATCTCCTTTCTTTTCACCTGAATCTATCTGTGTTTAATCACTTGGCAGATGAAATCAATATTAATTCTGTAGTTTTGAAAAGTATATTTTCTTTACCTACACTTTTATGAATTTATAAGAACCATTAGATGATAGCTTAACTTACACCCTTTCCTGACTGAAAAGTTTTGGTAACTGTAGGAGAAACAGAAAATGTCAACAGTTCTTATTTATTTATATCTCATATGCATTTGTCTTCTGGAGAATGGAATTTGAAGCAAAGCCTTAAATACCATGTCATCTCCCCTGTCGCTTTATAGCATAGTACGTGTTTGTAAGCACTGAAATATTGTTGAGTATAAAATGAATCACGAATCGATCTCAGGAATGTCCCTTGTAACGGATTAGAGAAGATATAGGAACTGGCTTGGAGATGAACCTTCTAGCATCTTTTTCTTTCTTGTTTAGGTGTTGATTGCCTCTGTGGATTATCTCAATAATCAGGGCAATGTTAACACCTCAGTTATCTTGCTTTTTACGTTCAGTCTGCTCTGGTTAGGTTAACCACAGGTAACTACATGAATTCTGGGGTCTGTTTTAATTAGCTGGGAGGGTAAGTGAGGCAGGCAGGATCTACACAATATTGCCAAATAGCAGGACATTTAAAAGTATTATTTAAATTTTATTTATTTTACCCAATAAAGTTATGTGACTCCAGCAGCCTAATTTTTGAAATGCATGGAAATTTTGAAAATGAGAAAAATAATCACTTCAATGCCAATTAAGTATTTTGAAAGGCATCTCTGGCTAAAGCCAAACCACATCAAAACAACTACATGGAAAATGAAAAGTTCATTCCATTATCTAGTTATTTCATCCAAATAATATCAAACATTTAGGATTTCAACACAAGCTAAAACACACAGCTGATTAACAAAATTTTAAACTTAATATAAAAGTGTTTTGGCAGCACGTGGAGAAAGTTAAACTGACATTAAGATTGAAGACCTAGAGGCAGTAGGTGTTATCTCTTTCCAATAAATTATTAGTCCATTAACCCAAAGTATTCTTGGGGCCATTTGAAAGAACTTTTATGTTCTACTTCAAACAAATGCAAATAAAAATTACAGTGCGATTTATTTCCCCACATCAAGTTGGTCAAGTTTTTAAGAGTGTTTTGAGTGTTTTGAGTATGTATGTTTTTGAGAATGGGGCCTTCTTATTATATGTGGCTGATGCCCCCATTAGGCTTTTTGCAAGGCCATTTGATTCTGATAGCAAAAAGCTTGCTAGACATCTTTTGACTGGGAAATTTTTCTTCCAGGACCCTAAGGAAATCATTATGGATATTAATAAAAATTTATGTGCAAGACTCTTCCTTATAATTGTGCTATTTTTTAAAAGTAAAAATAGGTAGAATTTAGAAGTCCAGTGACAGTGGCAGGAGAATACAATGAAGCATTAAGAAGAGTATTCTAGACATCAAAAAAAAAAAAAGAATATTCTAGACATCTACTCAATACCATAGAAACATATTCAAGACAGATTAGGTCAACAGCCTATCACAGTATATTCTGCTTGATTCCATTACAAAATACATAGGCAAACATAGGAATAAACAGCTGATGTATTAGAGGTTTTTAAATGATAGGGAACTAGGAAGGGTTATGAACACATCAATGTTCCTTACATATTGGTAAATATTGCACTTGATACCCTGTATCTTCAACCTGTAACCTCTGATTCTCCAAGGTGTCAATATTAGTTACATCTGTGTATATTACATTTTTATTTTTTCCACGATGAGTAGTGTGTATTGATTTATAATTTCAAAAACTATTTTACATTAAATATGTGCAAAAAGCTATACTTTAGAGTTTAAACTTGCATGATGTTCCACATTATAAATAGTTTACTTGTATTTATTATCTGGTATCATTTTTATACCATACATCACTCAACCAAATGGTAAAACAAACGGTTTTCATGACTGGATCATAACTATGGAGCCCAAATAATTCACTAATGCTTATCTGATTCTCATCAGTTTCTTTCAAGATCCCTAAAAATCTGCCTAGGAAGGCTTTCCTATCTAAAATTAGATGACCTGACCTCTTTCACTGAAATCCTCATTTTCCATGGAAAACCCTGTCTCTACTTTATCTCCCATTTAAAATACTCATTTTCTGACATGCCCTTTTTCAAGGCCTTTAGATCAGAGAAGAATTTCTATTAAAGAGGTTTAGGCTCAAAAGATTTTTAATAATTAAGGGAAAATACCCTTTATTGCTGTATATAACTTTTAATAGTTGATATTTTTCAATGAGGCATTCCTTATTCTAATTTTTCTCTAAACTTGGGACAGATAGGGGCCATGAGTGACCATTTTGGTTTTCTAAATGATGCACTAATTAAACATTTTATTTGGAAAATAACCCTTTCTAAAATTAATGGCTTTCAAATAAAACTTTAATGAGAAGTTTTGTTAGACAAATCTGAATTCTAATATTAGGACACCGCTGATTTCCATATGAACCAATTTGGTTCAAGGCCAAAATTTTTTGTTCCTATAGATCATATGTATATATTTTTATTTATAAAAATCATATAGACTTGATTTTAGTAACTGTAATATATTCTATCAGCTGCATATAGATGCTAAGATACTATGAATCTAGTACCCAATTAATTGGGCATCTTTTTATGGTCGCTTTTTTTTTTTTTTTTTTTTTTTAGCCATGGTGATGGATTTATGCTGAGCCATTTGTACTAGTTTTCCAACCTCCTTGTGACCAAATGCCTGGATTTCTGAGATGGTTAGCAAGGGTTGGGGTGAAATTGGTGTGTATGGAATAGAAATTCTCTGGGTGAAGATAGCCAGCCAGTATTAACTTCCAGCCTACCACATGGGTTATCAAGCAAGCTCTAACCATCTGTAACAACAGGTCCAGATCTTAAAGTAAGCTTGTTATCATGTATGATGGTCACAATTCTTATAGCCGCTAGAAGTCAGTGATAGAGCCTCATTTTTCTCAATTGCAGGATGTTTAAAAACAAAACTGTAAAGTGTTATTGTGGATACAGGAAGGGAAGAGGAGAATTTTGTCTGCTGTCCTGGGAAGTAGGGGGTCACATGTATATCTTAGAAGAATTGATTATTGAGTTAAGCTGTAGAAATGTGTTATGTATCACCATAGAAAACAAAATACTGCAAATGCTGAAGATAAAGCACAGTGAGCGCAATATTTATCAATATATAAGGAGTAGTAATGTGTTCATAACCTTCGTAGCTCCTATCAATTAAAAAACTTCTCAAATTATTTCAAACTGCCAGAAGCAAGAACAATAATAACACAAGATCAAGTATAAGGAAAGCTCAAGAACTTTACGTGGATAGTGGTGTCCTTGTGAATGACTCTAGCCAGCAGCATCCACATTTAACTTTAAACTGAGGAAGGTACTGTTGGCAAAAGAACAGTCAAAAACAAATCATTTTCCTGAGAATTGACTCATATTTTTGTGATTTTTTTAAAAAAGTGGAATCCTTCTCCTGACATCTTTCCGTAATGTGAACTAGATAATCTAATTCTGTTATTTAAATGCCCCTAAAGCTCCAGATAGCTTGTTTTTGCAATATA